TTTTGAGACAGAATCTTACTTTGTCACTCTTGGTAAAATGCTATGACATCACAGCTCACAGTAACCTCAAACTCTTGAGCTTAAGCAATTCTCTTGCCTCAGCTTCCCAACTAGCTGGGACTACAGGTACCTACCACAATGCCCTGCTAGTTTTAGAAACAAGGTCTTTCTTTGGCTCAGTCTGGTCTCAAACTCGTGAGCTCAGGCAATACAACCACCTCAGCTAGCACTCCCAGAGTGCTGGGATTACAGGCATGAATCTTTGCAAGTAGCCTCAAATATTCACTTTAAAGTGTTTTTATTGTATCTTCTTGGCATGTACTTACATCAGGTGTTTGTGTGAAACTTGTAACTGGATTAGCAGTAGTAGCAATATCCTCATTGCCATTTCTCTTTTAAAATCCACTCGTCTTTTCTCATGATTATTTAGGAATCAACTGTCCTCAACCAAAGGTACTACATGGAAATATTGTTTCTGGATTTAGAGCCCGCTATACTTACAAAGATTCTATTGTGTTTGAGTGCCAGAAGGGTTTCATTCTCAGAGGCAGCAATTTAATTCATTGTGAAGAGGATAACAAATGGAATCCTTCTCCTCCTACTTGTGAGCTCAGTAAGTATAGACCATGAAGGAATTTCAATGTTTGGGATCAAAAAGTACTCAGAATGTTGGTGGGTATACTTCCATCCCTAGACCCATTTTGAATCACAATAAAATTTAAATTGAGATTAATAATTCTTTTTCTTGTTGGATAGAAAAATGCTTTCAATATATTTGGGAAGGTTGTAAATCAGTAAAAAAGGCTACCATATATAGTTGCAGGGTTTGTGCACACTCCAAAGGGAGGCGTTAATATTGTAGATATTGTGGATTAGTATACTTATTTCGATAATATTCTACTAGTTGATAGAAAATTGTCTTATTCTAACAAAATCATCAAATTATGATAATTATTTTGAAAGGCAAATAACAAAAAGTGTCCAGAAGAAAAGAACCTTCTTCTAACTTGCACACAAGTTTTTTTTTTTTTTTTTTTTTTACAGTTAAGGAAATATTTATTTATTTATTTTTATTAAATCATAGCAGTGTACATTATTACTATCATGGGGTACAGTGTACTGTTTTATATACAATTTGAAATACTTTTATCCAACTGGTTAACATAGCCTTCATGTCTTTTTCTTAGTTATTGTGTTAAGATATTTATATTCTACTTTTAGAGAGATTTACATGTATCCTTATAGGATGAACCATAGATGTGATCCCTATGGATCACTAATCACCCTCCCTATACCCACCATGTACTCTGCCCTCCCCTCCCTCTTCCCTCTCCCCATATTCCTGGGCTAAAATTGGGTTATGGCTTTCCTATGAAAGCTATGAATTAGTTTCATAGTAGGGCTGAGTACATTGGATACTTTTTCTTCCATTCTTGGGATACTTTGCTAAGAAGAATATTTTCCAGCTCCATCCATGTAAACATGAAGGAGGTAAAGTCTCCATCTTTCTTAATGGCTGCATAGTATTTCATGGTGTACATATACCACAATTTATTGATCCATTCGTGGATCGATGGGCTCTTGGGCTTCTTCCATGACCTAGCAATTATGAATTGGGCTGCAATGAACATTCTGATACAAATATCTTTATTGTAGTGTGATTTTTTGGTCTTCTGGATATATACCTAATAGAGGAATTATAGGATCAAATGGCAGGTCTATTTTTAGTTCTTTAAGTGTTCTCCAGATGTCTTTCCAAAAGGAATGTATTAGTTTGCAATCCCACCAGCAGTGTAGAAGTGTCCTACCAGCAGTGTAGAAGTGTTCCCTTTTCTCCACAAGTATTATTTGGACCAGTTATGATTCTGCCACTCTGCAATCATAGACTTATATGGATTATTAAAAATAATGGTAATTGTAATAATAATGATTTGACTAGGTACATAAGAATTAATTCAGTGACTCCTCCCAATCATTGTGGGCACTATAATTATCTGCATTTTTCAGATGAAGAAACTATTCGTAAAGGCTAAATGATTTGTCCCAAATCATGCACCTGATATGGGGATGAAGCCACTATTGTCTTGTAGTCTTACTTTTGCCCTCATAAAATAATAAAAACTATATTCTGCGGACATCTGGAACAGTGGTGTAGGGAGTTTGAAGAGACCTCTCCCTGTAGTGGTATCTTACAGGCTGGTCAAAATTAGTAAACCATTCAAGGTCTCTGGAGATTGATCAAGGTGCTTATAACAAATTGAGAAGCATTTATTCAGCAAATATATGGTGACTTGTTATATACAGTGGGAGGACATTGAAATAGAACTAGAGATTGCATCCAGTCACCAACAGCTCTACCTTGTAGAACTGTTCCTATGGATTCACAAGTGGCATTTCCCATCTTCCCCCAGCTCCCTGGTGTGTAACAGTTATTTAGGGTAGATCTGGCAAATAGGGAACACTGTGTGATAACATTTTCCAGAACTCTAAGCTGTGGAAGGCTTATATTGGATAGGTGGCAGCAGCCAGACATTAGTGTCTACTCCTCCACCCCAATTTCCATTATATAGGGAGGATGGAGGTGGAAAGATGATATGAAATTTAGTCCCCATTTCCTGCATGTCTTTCTTTGCAGGAGAGCTGTTGCAGTGGGCTCAGTAGCAAAGTGGCACCTCCCATCTTCCCCAGCTTCCTAGAATGGAAGAACTATTGTAGTAGATTTGAGCTAGTGAATATTGACAGAACTTATTCTTCTAGTTCTGGTCTTTGGAATATGTATACTTGGTGCTGGGAAGTACCATTTCTGCTGGCTCCTCCTTACCTTCTTCATAGCTCTTAACACCATAGGAAGGACTCTGGTGAGGCATCTGGTGATGAATGAGTTTTCTAATTAGCCCCAACTCCTGATCTATATGTCTGGAACAGATATTTTTCAGAAGGAGGTATGAAGCAAGCTCCGAAGACTGTCAACAGCCTGCCCCAGCTAAGGAGACTAGCTTCAACTACATGAGACTATGAAGCAATTTATGCTCTGCTGAGTTGTAAAAACATAGAGAAAGTAGTTAGTAATGACTGGAGGCTAACATTTGGGTATAATACCAATAAAGGCAGACCAGGCCAAAGCCTCATGAGAAAGAGCTGTTGAAAGAGAAAACCAGAGTGATGCTTGGTGGTGAGGAAGACTGTGCTTGTCCCAGGGTGTACTCTCAGATGCAAGCCGTTGGATGAGCACACTTTGGGGGAAATAGACTTAATCAAACTAGTCCTGTCAAGTCAGTAACAAATAAGCAAGCAAGAAAACAAGAGGCCCTGAAGGTGTTGAGGGGAAATCAGTATCCAGAGTTGCAACAATACATTATCTAATGTGGCAGATTAAAAAAAAATTATCAGACATGCAAAGAAGCAGAAAAGAATGACCTATACAAAGGGAAAAAACTGCCAACAATAGAAACTGCTTTTGAGAGGGCCCAGATGTTGGACTTAGCAGACAAGTGCTAAAAAGATCAAAGCAACTATTATAAATATATTCAAAGAATTAAAGGAAACTATTAATTGAAGGAATTAAAGAAAGCATTATGACAATGTTTCATCAAATGGAAAACAGCAATAAAAATAGAAAATATTTTAAAAATAAAACAGAAATTTTGGAGTTGAAAAGGACAATAAATAAAATGAAAATTTTATAAGAGAAACTCAACCATAGGTTTGAGTTGGCAAAAGAAAGAATCGGTGAATGTAAACATGGATTCATTGGGATTATGGCACCTGAAATATAGAGAGAAAAAAGCCCAAAGAAAAATAAACAGAGCGTCAGAGAAGTGTGGGACCCCATTAAGTGAACCAACACATGTATAATGAGAGTTCCAGAGGTAGAAGAGAGAGAAAGGAGTAAAAAACTATTCAAATAAAAAAACATGATTGGAAACATCCAAATCTGACAAAAAAATAAAGAAAAAGAAACCCAAGAAAAGCAAACAAACATCCCAACAACATACAAATCTAAGAATTTCATCAAACACAAGTAAGATGAATGCAAGAAGATCCAAACCTGGAAACATCATAGTGAAAATGTTGAAAGCCAAAGATGAGAAAGCAGCAAGAGAAAAGCAGTACATCATGTACAATGTTTTGTGCATGTAACCCCAATAAGATTAACAACTGACTTCTCAGAAACAAAGGAGACCAGAAGGCAGTGAGATGACATATTAAAATGCAGAAAGAAAAACTATTGATCAGGAATTCAGCAGCACATTTCACATTTATATATGTTACAGACTGCATAATGTATTGTTATAATTATTGCTTTATATAATACTATGTTTTATGTCTTTATGGTAGGTGAGGCAAGAAAGAACAAAGTATATATTCATAAAGTTACTATATTAATTACTTCATAATTAATATTAAATTATAAAGATTACTATATTAATCTTTTTATTCATCATTTCTGTTTTATTTTACTTCTTCCTGTGGAGTCAAGTTATTATCTGATGTCAATTCTGTTCTACAATATAGCTTTGTTCCCATTAACCTTCTTTATGTTGTTATTGTCAAATATATTGCATTACTATATTTTATAGGTTTAATAATGCAATTATATGCATGTGGTTTTATGCAATTGTTATTTAAATCAGCTAAGAAAAGAAAGGAAATAATATACAATTACGTTACCTTTTAAATTACCTCCATAATGACCTGTGCTGGTGCTCATTGTTTTTCTGTGTGAATTCAAATTACGGTCTGATGTCACTTGTTTTCAGTATGAAGAATTTCCTTTAGTATGTCTTGGAATGATAGTTTTTTAGCAACAGTAAGATAACATTTCATATCCATCAGAATGTGTATAATAAAAATAAAATACATAGTCATTGACGTTGGTGAGGATGTAGAAAAATTGGAATTCTCATACACTGCTGGTGAGAATGTAAATGGATACAGCCATTTTGAAAAAGAGTTTTGATAGTTGCTCCAAAGTTGAAGCATAGAGTTATCATATGACCCAGCAATTATCCTCCTAGGTATCTACCTAAGAGAAAGGAGAACAGATATCTATACAAAGAAATTTCACATGAATATTCATAGTGGCATTATTTATAATAGCTAAATGTAGCCATTTAGCTATTCCTGTCAACTGAAATAATGACCAAGTTCCAGTCTCAAAAAAATGCTTGGAGCTTTCTTTGTTCTTTCCAAGCTATTACATGCTAAATTTCCTGGCGTCATTTAGATCAGGGGAATGACTATTGTTTGTTTGCCCTAGTCAGGGACTCTAGAAAGATACATTTATTTGTATGTTACAGTTTTCCTGCCATGTTTACTTTGCAGTCCTAATGCTTCAATACAGAAACTAACATTTCTGGAGTACATTAAAAAGTAGAGAAGATTAATAATGGTGCTATGCACATTTGGAAGAAAGTTTGCTTACATTTTCTTGTAAGCAAGAAAGTTTGATACATCAGCCATTGCAGGCTGGTTCTTAGCTGAATGAACACCCGACACCCTTCAATAGGACAGGCTCCCTGATTGCTATGGCCACCCCACTAACAGTGTCCTTCTTATTTGTCCTCCTTTTATGTGTAGATAGTTGTACTGGCTTACCAGATATTCCACATGCTTCCTGGGGATATCCTCGGCCAAGAAAAGAGGAAAGGTATGCTGTTGGGACTGTGTTTAAATACTACTGTCATTCTGGCTATACACCCAGGGTGAATGAGCATACAACTGTGACTTGTCAAGAAAATTTGAGATGGACCCCCTATAAAGGGTGTAAGGGTGAGCTTTTGTTTTTAAATATTTCTATATCTTAAATGTCCAGTAGTATTAGTATTCTCTACCTTAAATGAATGTGATTTTATCCTTAATATATCTAGAATTATATTAATTCAACAGAATAAATGTGTTACAGCCAGAAGGGACCATAAACATAGAGTCTGAGGTGCTGAGAAATTTTAACTTTTCCTTATGCCATATTAGAATAAAATGAGAAATAGATGCAGAAGTCAAATGGTGTGCAGTTTAAGTATTAGCCTCCTCACTGAGAAAGTTAGAAAGGAGAATACAGCTCAGCGCCTTCAGAGCCCATCCCTCCCCACTGTAGACTTTGGGGTAATTGGCCCCCAAAGCCTATAATATAGTCATGAACACAGCAAACTGCAAAGTGACTTCTATAGTTTACTTCTTGTGCTATAAGATGGCAGGATGATGGAGATGAGTCTCCTGATCTTCCTCTGGAAGACAGACCCTGACTCCTGACCAAGTATTCCTGCCTCAGGATAGAAAGGAGAGTTTCTCCATTTTCAATGATAGGAGAAGCTCCTCTTCTGACTGTGAGGATGAGTGAGGGGCAGAAGGGCAGCTGGATGACATTTCATGGGCCTCGGTGAAGTTGACAAGAGAGGGAGAAAATCCTCCTTCTACTCATCTGTCAGAATCTTGCCATTTTAGAGGTGAAGACACAAAGGGCCAGAATATAGGGAATTTTGTGGTCCAGATCAGGATTTGAAAATATGTGAATTGTATGAATAATGAAAATTGGTAGTTTAGATCAACTTATCAGAATGTGACTTAACAAAGGCTAATTGCAATGATTCAGACTCACTCATGAAAGATTTTTATTAAAATCATCAAATTAAAAATACACTTATCAAAACATATTGTCTCAAATTAAAAAACAAGTACTTACACTTTTGGTTATATTTATTTTACCCATTATGCTCTTATTGACTTAATGACTTAATAAAGTATATTTTTAGCTGTTTAAAAAGCGTAAGTGAAGTGGTATTTATTCAAGTTATGAAATCTGATTAAATACAAATTTATACACATGACTTACATATTTAAAAATTTTCACACATAAAGCATTGCAAAAATATTACTGTTACATTATCAGAAACATACAAGTGTTTGGCATTTTTATTGTAATTCATAAACAGATGATCACTGAAAGTATTTGAGTATGTCTCAAAGACCCCCTTGTAGTGCTAGTCAACCTCCTGATATGGAGAATAAAGCTTATTTTTCTATTTTGATGTTTTCCCTTACACATGTATTAGGCAATATCAAGTTCTACCTTAAAGTATTTCTACTAATGAATGAGAAATTATAACCCTATATCAGCCCCAATCATATTAAATATGAAAGGATTTAAATAGCTATTTGTCTTTAATTTTTGCATCAAGGAGGAAAAGTCATTGCCATAAACAATAATTTAAATTTATTTCTATGCATTTATTTTCAGGCACATAGAAATTGTTGAGAATTTTTTTCTTCCTTGACACATGAGAATTATAAGTTAATAAAGAGTTTAATAAATGATGCAACTCTAATGAAGCCATAAATTTATAAATGCTATTTTTCATTGCTCTTAAAAATTTTTGAAAATTGACATTTTCATACAGGTTTAATACAAATTTTATTTCTGAGGTTCCTGAGGAAGTTTCCTAGTTAGAGGCAAATGATTGATTGGTTAGAGTATTTTAGTAAGTCAGGGTCAGAGAGAGCAGACTTAGAGTATTATGAGTCTCTTTTAGTGGTGAGATCTTCCAAAGGTGACAAGTTCGTTAGCCACAGGAACCTCCTTGGGGTGATTTTACTAACCATTAGCCTCACTTTTTATTTTTTAGAGTTATGTTGCCCAATGCCAGACCTAAAGAATGGCGAAATCCTTCATCATAGAAAACATCATCGCAGCAATGACTGTGTCTATTTCTATGGAGATGAGGTTTCATATACATGTTCTATGGGAGGCAAAATTTCAGCTGTATGTCAAGCAGATGGTACATGGAGTCCCCAAACACCAGCATGTGATGACAGTAAGAGTTCATAGAATTATATTATGTCGGGATGTTCTTCACTTCAGTGTGATAGTGATTATTAAGAAGGTTTAAAATTAGGGAAAATAATGTATATACTCTGTATGATTCTTGGAGTGGATCCAACTTTCTGTGGTTTCTCCTACTATTTTTCCCTATCCTCCCAATGGCCTTCCCAGTTTCCTCTTCTTGTCTAAATCAGACTACATCTAAGAGATTAAGCTGAACTTTTCTTTTACTGTGTTAGTTTTCTTTGGATTTATTCTCTTTTCTTCCTCTGTTCTGGCCCATATGTCTTAATCTGCAGAAAAACACTTGTCCAAATCTATTTGAACCAGCCTACCTGAGCTTCCTTCCTCCAGCTGCCCCCAAACAGTCAGACTGTCACTCTAACGTGAAATTTTTCCCTTGCCACCACCAAGAGCTGATAGTGTTAAACACATTCCACCATTCCCCCTGTGTGTTTGGCCCCTGTATTATTGATCAGGACCCATTCCCCTGGCAGTAAACAATTTGTCTTCTGGCAAGAAGGCCAAAGGAGCTCAAAGTGGCCAGGCCTTTGTTGCAGCTTATAAATTAATAGGAAAATCTTTGTCTCCCCTGGCAGAGGACTTTGCCAACTAGGACTTTTAATCCTACAGACCCCAGAATTTCAGGAATGAGAAGCACAAATGCCCCAAATCGGTCACTTACAGTGGTGGTCTTGGAGTCACTCATGCTTCCATCTCGTGGTTCCTGTACTCATGCATTTAGTTTATTGAGAACCCAGAGCCATACACAGGTTGATGTTTAATTCGAAGTAGAAACTTCTTTGTGGAAATAATGCCCTTTTATTGTCAAGCACTGCCTGTCAGCTGGCACATCCACTGTGCCTTTAACCAGCCATTCCGATCTTCTCACAGGTCAGCAGGTTTAGGTGATGCTATATGTGATTTGAATAGTGTATTCCATGATCATGGACCCAATGACACACATTTTTGTTATGACTAGGTGTTCTGTTTGGATGTAGTGAATCCTATGCCAATTGTTCAAAAGCTCTGTAGTTATTCCAATAGTAGTGCCAACTGAGGTCCTGCAGGTAGAAAAGGCAAACTCATACCTGTAATACTTGTCTATTTCTGTCAGAATAAATTGTTCTTTCTTCTAGTGTAGAAGGGGTCTACTATAAACAACCTGCTGGAAAATGGTTTTTGGTTGCCTGAAGGGATGGTGTCATATTAGGGACTTAGGATTGATGCTGGCATGTTGGAAGCTCAATGACAACACATGACCTTTGCTAGTGGGGGGTCCATGACGTTGGGGCCATACTTATCTTCCATTCATGCTACATGGTCACTTTACATCTCTTCCTCTTTTGCCACCACCAGTGAGGCCAATGACAGAGAATGACTAACTTCAACTGACTGAGACTTGTTTTTTTCTGTTATTCATGGTGGTTTAATGCCTCTTTTATTAGGGATGATCTGGTGTCAACACACAAAAAAATAATCTTCATGCTTCTTTCCCGTTCTCTTATGTCCATTTACCTACTTCTACACTAGATCTCCTTGTGCCCAGCCTTCCAGTCTTTCTCCTTGCAGGGCTCTGACCTGAGAAGCCACTCATTCCATGCCAACCTTTTTTTTATGTGTATCACCTACAGCTCACTGTACCAGAAGGATTTCCCCTTACACCTCTTTTTTGAGATGCTTGATGGGATTCTAATGCAGCTGCCATCCATTTCAGCTTGTACACACTGGCAGAGTGAAAAGCATGCCATCTCAAATATGCCAAACTTGTGTATCGATTATTTCACACTGAAAATATTGGAGAATTTGTAGTTTCAGAAAGAGCTTGCTGACCTGTCTCCTCCTGCATGCAATAATCCATAAAGATTTTTTTTTTTTGAGGGGTTGGTACCAAAGGGAGAAAATAGCTCTTATTACTAGGGATTGGGAATTGGGGGCTACAGTGGACCTGAAAAAGTAAACTCTCTGAAGGGACATTTACCACTAGTTTTATACCTCTCCTCCATACGTGTATCTCCTACCAACTCTCCTGGAAACAAACTGCTCCTTGCCAGATCATCTTTGTCCTGTCACTTCTCACATGTATCATTCTTCATTGGAAAAGTATGAAAGCATCTTACTTTGGCCACTTTGTATTTTACTCTCTTGCAAAGATCCTCATGCACATGTAGGACTAATAACATTTGTATGCTTTTGTCTTGTTAATCTGCCCATGTCAGTTTGGTTTTGAGATCCAGCCAAAGACTTAGATAAGAGCTGAGGAGCAAAGGAGTTGAAGGTGATCTCCCAGTTCCCTACAACACAAATCAAAAATGTTTACTTGTGAAACAAGCTGAGACTTTTCCCTGTTCTATCGGTTGATTACAAGGCAGAACCTATATAACCATAGGTGTGACCTAAGGGAGACGGACTTGTGCAACAGTTGCTGGGCACGAGTAGGCATTGGGCTTCCTTCTAGTGCAGCTCACTTGTGCCATCTTGTCCTATTCATGCTCCATCCCAGATGCACCAATCCCTTCTGATAATGGATGGTTGCCTGCTTGACATAACTCAGTGGGTCTGACAGATTCAGTTCATGATGAATACTTTCGGCTGTAAGGTGACCTTCTTGACATAAGGTCAAGAACTTTGTTTCTACCAAGACCAAGTAATTTGGAAGGAGACATATTTGAAAAAGCATACTATTTCTGCTTCAGAATCTCAGGGGTCTATGGTATGATTGTCCCACTGACATTTGCATTTTTGTTTTACTATAGCTGCTTCCAATACACAAAGCTATGTAGGGTCCTGAGAGTCCAAGACATAGGCATGATTTCACTGCAGAGTAGGCCTGCTCTTGGCCCTTTCCTGACATGAGCCCCAGTCAAAACTGACAATCTTTTGTGTTACCCAGCATATGGGTTGGGACAGTATTCCCAAAAGCAGATAATGCTACCTCTAGTATCTGAAAAAGGCCTACGAAGTGCTGTGCTTCCTTCTTCTTGGTGGGATGTGCAATTTATAGTAATTTGACCTTAGTTTGAATGGGATATCTAGGATTCTTGAAACCTGGACCTCCAAAAGTTTTACTAACATGCAAATCCCTGAATATTAACTTTTGTACTTGGAGTATCACAATACTAGCCTCTTCTTGCTCATTCAGTAGAATTAATATGATACAATTTATATATTGGATTAATGTAATTTTCTGTGGCCCACCCAGTGGTGAAGGAATCGTCAGACTCTATTACGAGAGGGACAGGAATGTTATCATAGCTCAGGGACAAAACTTCAAACGTATGCTCTTGACTATTTCTGATCCTCTATCCTCTTTTCTGATAGAGATGGAAAAAGAAAGCCTTTGCTAAATCCTTGGCCACATCAACCTGAAGACACATTAATCTATTCTAGTGAAGATAGCACATGTGGTACAGTGGTTGCAATGGGAGCTAAAATGTTGTTGAGTTTTCAGTGGTGTATTGTAGTTCTTCAGAATTCTTATCACTTTTGTTGTATATGGACTGGTGAATTTAATGGAGCTCTGATGGGGATGAGCATTCTCATATCTCTCGCTATTTAAGAAATTAGTGGCACTAATTTCCCCATTCCCCTTCCACTCTTAAGGATATAAAATTGCATTTTTCAAAAATTTTACTTACTCTGCTTTGGAGAAGGGGTGAGGTAGGTGGGCAGTATCAGTTACTTCTACTTGGCCTTCTTGCATATGGCAGTCCTCGTCCTATGGGCTAAGGACTCAATATGGGAGTTGGGCCAAGTACCAATTTCGTCTATTCTGATTATACTTTTGAGGATAATGTAAATGACCACCAAGTGGTCTAATAGGAGAGCTGAGATGGTTTAACGTGTCAATGTCAATTAAAGCCCTGTGTCTAATAATCCTTGGATATTGTATACCTTCTACAGTGCATAGGTCCTCTTCAAGGACTGGGGGACTTCTTAATTTGGGCACTTTCTAGGGTTTGACAGCATCTTCACTTCTGGGAACTGATTCATCTTCGGTAACTGATCATCAGACCTGAGAACCGGGTCAGGTCCAGCCACTGAGCAAGGGAGGATGAGTTCAGGAGGATTCTCTTCATCCTGATGTTATGATACAGTTTCAGTAGGATAAGTAAAAGTTCTTCTTTGTAACTCTGGTAAATTGGAGTGTGAATGCATCTGGTACTGGGCATCTTGGGGGGCAGATTTTTTATTATTCACTCAATTGCCCTACTTATTATTGTTCTGTTCAGGATATCTATTTCTTCCTGATTCAAGGTTTGGAGGATATGTGTTTACAAAAGTTTATTTCCTCAAGTTTTTCTAGTTTGTGTTCACAGAGTCGTTTGTTGTAGCTTCAGATGATCTTTTGCATTTCTGTGGATTCAGTCATAATATTTCTTTCATTTCTGACTAAATTTATTTGAACTCTCTCTTTTCTTGTTAATCTACCTAGTGGTCTATCATTTGTTTATTCTTTCAAAGAATCATCTTTTTTGTTTCATTCATTATATTGTTAATTTGGTTTCAGTATTATTTAGTTCTGTTCTGTATTTCTTATTTCTTGTAGTCTACTAGCTTGGGGTTCGGTTTGTTCTTGTTTTTCTAGTTTCTTGAGGTGTATCCTTGGGTTGTTAATGTATAATGTTTCTGTCTTTTTTTTTTTTTTGTAGGTTTTTAATGCTATATACTGAATCTCTTAGAACTGCTGTTGCTATATCCCAGGGATTTTTTTTTTTAAATCACAGAGATTTTTGTAGCTTGTTTTGCCATTGTCACTTCCTTCAAAAATTTCTTTGATTTCCCTCTTGATTTTCTCATTGACTCAAAGATTTTCCAGCACCAGGTTGTTTAATTGCTTATATAGTTTTAAGAGTTCTTCTTGGAATTTATTTCTGGAGTTATTCCACTGTGATCTGAGTGATTTCAATTTTTAAAAATTTGGTGAGCTTTGGGTTGTGGCTAACATATGATCTATCGTGGAAAACATTCCATGTGCTGATGAAAAAAATGTATATTCTGCAAGTTTTGATGTAGAATGTTCTATAAATGTATGTTAGATCCTTTTGTTTTAAAGTTCCATATAAGTGGTGATTCTTTTTTGAATTTATGTCTCAGTGATATATCTTGTTCTGACAGTGGAATGCTGAAGCCCCCTCTCTCATTATTATGTTGCTGTTCATTCCATTTCTTAGGTCTGGTATTATTTGTTTTATGAATCTGGAACTTTTGGTACTATTTGTTTGATGAATCTGGGAGATCTGGTGTTATTTAGGATTCTTACGTCTTCTTATCTAACCGATCCCTTTGTCAATATATAATGACCATCTTTGTCTTTTTTCATGTTATTGATTTAGTATCTGTTTTATCTGTTACAAGAATACCTAATCTTACACAGTTTTGATTTCCATTTGTATTGAGTATTTTTTTCTACTCCTTTACTATGAGTTTATGAGACTCTTTGCAAGTTAAATGGGTTTCTTGGAGAAAGAAGAAATTTGGGCTGTGTTTTTTAAATCCATTCTGTTAGTCTACCTCTGTTAAGTGGGACAGTTAGACCATTTACATTCAATGTTAGTTATGAGAAATGAGATAGTGTAGAATCATTATGCTGATAGTTACCTAATTGCTTGGCATTCTCCTTATTGTTACTGTTTTGTAAGAGCTGTCAGTTTTTCATATTGAGTGTTTTTACAGTGGTGAGTATCAATTGTTCTGTTTGGTATTTAGAGTACTTTTGAACATTTCTTGTAGGCAGATCAGTGATACAAAGTCCTTATTGTTTGCTTGTGTGGGAAAGGGTATATTTCTTATTCATTTGTGAAACTTATTTTTTAGGATAAAAAATTCTTGGTTAACAGTTTTTGCATTTAAGAAAACTAAAATCTCCCTTCCATCTTGTAAGATAACTGCTGAGAAGTCTGCTGTGTGTCTAATGGGTTGTCCTTTCTAAGTAATTTAATGCTTTCATTTTGCAGTTTGTAGGATTATCTCCTTTGCTTAGGCTTTGGCCAGACTAATGACAATGTGCCTTGGTGATTTTCTATTTGCAGTGAATCTTTTGGGAGTTTGATGATCTTCTTGTATTTGGATGTCTAAATCTCTAGCAAGACTAGAGAAGTTTTCCTCCATTATTCCCTCAAATAGGTCTTCCATGCTTTTTGCTTTTCCCTCCTATCTCCTTTTTTTAATGTATTTTTTTTTTTTATTATTTCAGTTTAATTGAGTGTTTAACAAGTTAGGTTACATTGTATGGATTTGATAAGTAAAGCCCCTCTTATAATTGTGTCCTGCCTCCAAGAGGTGTACCATACACCCCAATATTGTGCCCATTAAAGTGGAGCACACCCATCACCTCCCCACCCTCCTCCCCTGTCCCCACTCCCCATTCCCTAACCTTCCACCTTGAATTGATTTGACTTTCCTCTTATGTGGCCATGTATTAGACTGTCTACTGTCTTCATATTAGAATTGAGTACATTGGATTCTTTCTTCTCTATTCTTGTGATACTTTACTAAGAAGAATGCATTCCAACTCTATCCAGGCTAATACAAAAGATGTAAAATCTCCATCTTTTTAAATGGCTGAATAATATTCCATGGTATACATATACCATAGCTTGTTAATCCATTCCTGGGTTAGTGGGCATTTAGGTTGTTTCCACAATTTGGAAATTATAAATGGATAACAATAAAAAGTCTAGTGCAAATGTCTTTATGATAAAATGATTTTTTTTCCCTTCTGGGTAGATGCCTAGTAGTGGGATTGCAGGTCAAATGGGAGATCTAATTTGAGTTCTTTGAGGATTCTCCCTACTTCTTTCCAAAGAGGCTGTATTAGTTTGCAATCCCACTAATCCCACTAATGGGATTATCCACATCCACATCAGCATCTGTAGCTTTGGGATTTTGTGATTGTGTTAATCTTACTGGGATTAGGTGATATCTCAGGGTGCTTTTGATTTGCATTTCTCTGTTGATTACTAATGATAAGCATTTTTTCATATGTTTGTTAGCAATTCCTCTGTCTTCATCAGAGAAGGTTCAGTTCATGTCTCTTGTCCAGCGATAGATGGGATTGTTTGTTCCTTTTTTGTTGATTAATTTGAGTTCTCTATAGGTCCTAGCTATCAAGCCTTTGTTGGATTTGTAATATGCAAATATCTTCTCCCATTCTGAAGTTTGTCTATTTGCTTTGATTGTTGTGTCCTTGGCTATGTAGAAGCTTTGTAGTTTAATTAAGTCCTATTTAAAATTTTTTGTTGTTGCAAATGCCACAAAAGTCTTCTTCATAAAGTCTTTACCCAGTCCAACATCTTCAAGAGTTTTTCCCACACTTTCTTCTGGGATTTTTATCATTTGATGCCTTAGATTTAAATCTTTTATCCATCCTGTATCAATTTTTGTAATTGGACAAAGGTGCAGGTCCAGTTTCATTCTTTTACATGTGGTTATCCATTTCTCCCAGCACCATTTATTGAATAGGGATTCTTTCCCCTAGAGTATGCTCTTGTTTGGTTTATTGAAGATCAAGTGGCTATAAGATATTAGTTTTGTCTCTTGGTTTTCTATTTGTTTCCAAATGTCTATGTCTCTATTTTTGTGCCAATACCATGCTATTTTGATCACTATGAACTTACAGCCTAAACTCTCTCAGTGATACCTATGATTCAAAAGACTTGTCTTCAAGCTTTGAAACTCTTTCTTCTTCTGTGGTTAAAACTTTTCACTGTATTTTTTTTGCATTTCTTCATTGATAATTATTATGGGTATAGAATAGTTGTATATTTTTATAGCATATATGTGATGTTGGGGTACAGGGATACAATTTAAATTAATTGTATCAGGATAATTGGGCTATCTGTCACATCAGGGATTTATCATTTTGGGGGGTTAGGAACATTCCCATTAAGTATTTTATAGTATGCCCTAACTTATTTTGATTATAGTCAATTTGTTGTGCTATCAAATATTATTCATTCTATGTAACTGTGCTTTTGCACTCATTAATAATTGCAACTTTATTTCCCCTTCCTATTATCCTCCCTAATCTTTGATAGCCATCATTATCCTTTCTGTCTCTATGAGATTAGTTGTTTTTAATATTTAGCTCTTGTTCTCTGAAATGAATGAAAGTATACAACATTTGTCTTTCTGTGCTAGACTTATTTCACTTAACATCACTTTTACCAGTTCCATCTATGCTGTTGCACTGGCAAGATTTCATTTTTATTGTGACTATATAACATTCTATTATATATATATATATATATACATACCACATTTCTTTATATTCATCCGCTTATGGACACTTAGGTTGATTCCAAATCTTAGCTATTATGGTTAGCGCTCTACTAAACATAGGAGTGCAGATATTTTTTCAATATACTGAATTCCTGACCTTTGGATATATACCCAGCAGTGGGAATTCTTGGTCATATGGTCATACTATTTTTAGTTTTTCTGAGGAGCTTTCATACTCTTCTCGTTAGTGGTTACTGCTAATTTCCTTTGTGTCCCTGTTCTGTTGTGAGTGTCACAGTCCAAATGGATGCTGTGGGATCCATTGGTTGTGTGGGATCTGGAGACAGGGAGGTTGAGGGGCTGTGACTTCCCCAGCAGGTTGTAGACTCCTGGCATGTGCACAGGCAATATGGTGCCTGCCTTCTCGGCTTGTGTCTGTGGTGGGGCAAAGTGACCTCACATGGGCTCACAGCCTGGAGAGGTGCTCCCAAATTCTCAGTTTGATGATGACAGCAGTGCCTGGATTCATCAGGGTTGATAGGCTTGCAGACAAATTGGAAGGTGGCATACTGCTACAGGTAAAATGTGAGCAAAAGGAAACACTCCCACCTACTCTTTCTGCCAGTCCCCAAATCTGCCAGGGCGTGGTCTCTGTGAAAATTTGCTTCTTCTTGCTCTGCTCTACAACTTTTTCACTTAAAACTTCTTCTTTGGCGGGGTGAACTGGGATGTCTGACCTTGGCCATCTTGCACTTCCTCCTGATGTAGCTAAAAAAAAAATATATATGAGCCCATCTCTGACTGTAATTGGTATTAGCAAACTTTGTTCATTAATGACTTTTTCCATCATCAGCTGTGGCCTTTGATGCAGGTGCTCGTCTTGTCAGGGAATTCCATCTGGCCTTGGTAAATGTTGTCTCCTCCAGGATTTCCCACATAACATAATCCTATGGTAGATTTTCCAGTGTTCACATATATGCATTCCTTCCTGCTCACTTCTCTGAGTCATTTAATCCCTTATTCTACTATCTGACCTGGGAATTCCAGTATGTCAATCTTACTTATATTTGTTTGTGAACCATCCCTTTTCCCAGGCTTGTGGGAGCATCTTAGTATAGTATTCATTACTACTCTAGTCTTTTGTCAGATATTCCTGAAGCTTTATTTTGTTTAACTCCTTTATGCAGTATTTGTGAACAGTGATAATGTTCCCTTTCAGAAAGGTGCTTGGCACGGTATAGTGTTTTTTACTTCACAGTGAGTGCAAGTTATCATTTTAATTCATCCTATGAACTCTTTTCTAAATCATTTCAAGTGCAGTATTTTCTTGGTGAGGATGGATGAATAATTTTGACTGGGAAGCAGTGATTCAGGGATTGTGGGTGTTTTAATTTCCTTACAGTTTCTCAGAGATACACATCTCTGCATTTAGCCTGAAAGGTACTAAGTATACCACGAGTATATGTGAGTTGGGGGATGGATCCAGACTTTATGCTAAAATTATCCTTGAAGAATGTTGAGTGAACTTGGTGAAGGAAATATGGTGAAGGAAAACCTAAAAGCTTATAACTTAAGCCTTTCCACTGTTTCCCAGCCTGAGGCTCACAGGAGGGCAGCCTGAGTTTGTGGGTTTGGCCAAGATACTTTATGGGCAGAAAGGATAGAAGGACAGAATGAATTCTCCTTTAAACCACACACATTCTAGGATGTGCTATTTTATACTTGCTATGAGCTCACGATCTCTTATTTTTATGTCTCACCATCAAGGTTGCAATATTCCTCCTACCATTGCCCATGGACATCATACAGGAGTTCAAACATCCATATTCTCTCTTTTTACTACGTATGAATGTGAGGAAGGATACACATTGGTTGGAGAGGCAAAACTCTCTTGCCGTTCTTCACACTGGTCACCTTCACCCCCTCAGTGTAAAGGTAACTTCAGCTCCTTTCTACCCTGGCTAAGTGGGTGGAACTGTCATGAGAATATTGAGGGCAAGAATTCTTCCCTGGATGAAGTAACATGAAAACATCTGATTTGATTTTATTTTAAGTAATCAATAATATATCATCAAGTGGTTCTCCATGCAAAAAGTGCAAACATGAACGTTGATTTTCTCCACTTTTTTCTTCTAATCACAAAATTCAACTTTCTTAAAGCAGCTCCTATTCCAGGTTTCTTTTATATATCCAGAAGTATTTTAGTCATAGAAGCATCACATTTTATAGTAGTTTACCTGTGGGCCTGTGGCAAAGTTTTATAGAAACTTGCTCCAGTTAAAATGTAGGCTCTCCTGTAGTAATTCCAAAAACCATGAGTGACATGTATTTTCCACAAAGCCTGTGCAGGGTACCACCTGACAGGAATGTGAAAGTGGCTCTTAGTTTGCAATCTATTAAGGGGATGGATGGAATCAGAATTGGATCTAATTTTTACATGCATGTGGTTTTTTTTTAAATCAACATATATCATTTTACAATGAAGAATTTCCCGATTTATTTCACTACATTGAGTCTATTACACACAGGAGAATAATGGGCAAGAAGGAAGTTTTTATATTTAGAATCTTGTAGCGTCAAGACTGGGAGTGAGAATTAGCTTGGTAGCTGAGAGTTTGATATTGTGCACCTTCTGTGAAAAATATTCTATCATGTTTTTAAAATATGTTATGATAGGAGCAAATTTCTTAACTTCTGTGTGTCTCAAATTTCTCCTTGATAAAATGGGAATAATAGCAGTATAACTTACTGCATGGGGCTACTGTGGGACTTAAATGAGATAATCACATGAAGTGCTTAGCCCTGAGTCTGATAAGTAGTCATGCTCAATAAAAATTTTGACTTATATTATTTTCTAGTTAGTTCATTCTTTTTATACTAGACTGAGCCTTTACGCTTAGATTACTCTTAGATTTACATTATATCTTTCCTCTTAGATTTTTTTTATTATTAAATCATAGCTGTGTACATTAATACAGTCATGGGGTACAGTGTGCTATTTTTATATATAACTTGAAATATTTTCATCAAACTGGTTCCTCTTAGATTTAATGACTATTAAAAATATGTTTCTATTATAGCTCGGTGTGTGAAACCAGAAATAGTGAATGGAAAGCTGTCTGTGGATAAGGATCAGTACAATGAACTTGAAAATATCTCCATCCGTTGTGACTCTGGCCATAATAGAATCGGTCCCCAAATCATCACATGCTTAGAGAACAGAACCTGGTACCCAGAGCTGCCCAAGTGTGAGTGGGTAAGTGGTGCAATTTGACAATCTGTGTTGTCATCCCCTAGAACTAGTGGTATCCTTCCAACTCTGTCCTAATCAGAAGTGATGAGATCTGACTTGACATAATTCATTTCTGAGGGACTCAAGATAATGCTTTCTTTTGGTATAAAGCACTCTGAGTTAGGAGTGGCAAGTTCTGCTCTCCCTTGACAGCAGGAAAAGCTAAGGTGATACAAAGTGCCATCCCATAGACCCAGGAGCACAGACTCCTACCTTTACTTTTTCTATGCTATGTAGCCTCTTTGTCCTCCAAAGCTTTCTGGGCAGCTGTCACAAAACAGGTCCATGTCCCTTTGGACTATTGTGGGACCAAAGTGATTTCTGGTTTTCCTTGCTTAACCGGCATTTGAAGTTGGCTTTGATCTTGACCCTGCCATTCTTCCATTGTCAGGACATACCCTCTCTCATGGTGTGGAGAGGTCTCTCAGTCACACCCACCATCTTCATCTCTTTTAGGAGGTTGCTGAAGGCTGTGAGCAAGTGCTTGCAGGCAGGAAACTCATGCAGTGTCTCCCAAACCCAGAGGATGTGAAAATGGCTCTAGAGCTATATAAGCTATCTCTGGAAATTGACCTACTGGAACTACAGAGAGACAAGGCAAGAATGTCCACTCTAGAGACAGAATTATAATTTTCCAAAAAGAGGACAAAAAGGTACCTTCCTGGCTTGCCTCCCATAATTTGATATAGGTTATTTCAGTTTAGCATATCTACTTTTGCTTTGGCCCTGATATTCATTGTAATAAATGTTTAGAAATGTTAATTTGTTAGAGTTTAGTGCTTTGAGATTGTAGAATGATCGATCATCTTGTGGCTCATGTTTTTGCTTTTCTGGACATTCAAGTACATGTTTTAGTCCAGAAAAAAGGAGGGATGAGGAAAAAAAAGGAGGGGAGAGGGGAGGCTGGGAGGAGGGAGGGTTTTGGAGGAGATCCAACCTAATGTGCATAATGCGATAGTACATTTCTATACTACTAAGAATAGAGTGTGAATGTTTTTGCCACAACAAATAAGAAAGCAAGGAGATGGTTATGTTAATCAGTTAGATGTAAACATTCCACATTGTGTATCAAATCAGCACATTGTACCCCATAAATGCATTAATGTACACAGTTATGATTTAATAAAGAATTAAAAAAACAAAAAAATATATATACCATCTACTATTTTGTCTATGTGGTCATTTGGGACTATGAAATGAGGGTACTTAACAAATCCTTCACATAAAGTTGTACTTTTATTTTACTGTATGGTCCACAATAACACCTGTTTAGGTCCCACCAGTATGTGTTCCCAAACTGCCTTTGCTGCACAGGTCCTCAAGTGCACACCACTCTAGTCCTCTTGGTTCAGATTAGATCAACATACCCCAAACCTTGTCCATTGTCCCTATGTGGGAGTCACGTGTTCACCTGAATTCATGTGCATATTGTTTCTTTCACTCAGGCAAATCTCCATTGTTGCTTCCATGAGGAGCAGCATTGTGCTCCTCATGGAGAGAATATTTGTGCCCGACCTCCTCATTCCAACTCCAGAGAAGGGACTCTGAAAGACAAAAGAAGGTTAAGGTCACGTGTTGGTCCCCTATGCTATCTTTACCTGATTTGGCCTCATTTTTTCTTATCACTAAATTGAAATGGCTTAAGCAGTTATTCACACATGCGGAAACACCTGGTATCAATCTCTTTTATATCAATGAGCACTCTGGAGGATTGTATTCCTTCACGTCATCACTTCCTCTGAAGTCTCTTTCTCAGTCATAGCTCTTTTTGTTATCTCTTCTCTTTCTGTACACAAAACTCTATAGGTTGTCAGCACAGTGGCTTACATGTATAATCCTAGTATTCTGGGAGTCTGGGGCAGGTGTATTGTTTGAGGCCAAGAGTTCAAGAGCAGCCTGAGCAAGAGAGACCCCATCACTCCTAAAAATAGAAAAATCAACCTAGTGTTGTGAGGCACCTGTATTCCCACCTATCTGTGAGGCTTTATCAAGACTCCTCTTGTCCTGTGACCTTTCAGACACAGCCCTCCAATTTCCCACTAGGTCTTAGTCTGTATGTCCCTAGAAACAGACTTTGAAACAACAATTAAATTGTAAGTACTTTATTTAGGAGGTGCAAGAAACACCAAAATGAAGGCCTTGAGGCATGGAAAGAAAGGCAGTTACAAAAGGATATGTCTTCAAGCCAGTTATGATGAACAAAGCCTAATCCTGAGGGAAACTGGTAAAGATATTGAACTCAAACTTTAGGGTAATCAGCATAGGGACAAAGTACTGTGATATTTTTATAATAACTTCCATATTAGTTGTTAATTGAGGTCTGCTTGTACTAGGTGTTAATTACCTTCCTTTGCTCCTAAACAAAAATCAGAGTAGATTTAAATTGTTCTGAAAAAAAGCCTGTGTAAAAGGAGGCAGATATGGGAAGTTGGATGGTGTTCAGAGTATGAGGAAGTAGGAGGGCCTAAAGATATTGACAGGACATTGACAGGGTGTACTGTACCCAAAATGTGCAATGGATGCTTTCAAGTCTGTAGACTTACCTTCCTGCCCTGTTTTTGCTTCTTGGATTTATATTCTCCTCTTTCTTAATTTATTTCCTCATTTTATTGGAACACATCCCCCAGCCCAAGAACTGCCTAAAAAACTACATATAGGAAATAAAATATGCATAGGAAGTGAGCTCCTTCATCTTTGAAACTGTCATTAGTTTGACTCTTGATTGATGTTTGGCTGAGAGTAAAAGGCTAGATAAAAAATAATTTTAAAAGAAAGTACTTATTGTCTTATTACTTCCAATACACCTATTGAGAAGTCAGAACAAATCCTGATTTCTGACCAGATATTTGGATGGTTTTATGCCCCTGAACTCTAAAAGAAATGTAAAGTCCTACCTGGTTTGAACTGCTGAGTGTTCTATCTACTGACAAGTATGGGGTGAGGAATCCCCAATATTAATGTTTATGGGTATCTTCTCAGTTGCTGTCCAGTTTCTCCAAAGAAGGATCTTCAAGTCATCTCCCTACTTACAATTTGAATTTACAACTTGAATTTCTACCATGCAATATGAGAAGATGACTGTGTCTACATTCTTTTTTGAATTCTGTCTCTCTCTCTAGCCCTCAGGCTGTTTCTATTATCACATCACATTTGTACTATCAACACTGAGAGAACTTTCTTTCCCAAAATATTTATTTCCATCCTTAAAAGACAGAGTAATTGCATTCATCTTCTTGTCTTGTGAAATGTTTTTTCTTCCACTATGACTAGTTCATCTTTGTATTTCCTTCAGAGTTTTGCCTACAGTGGTTTCGGAATAATTACACCATGGGTAAAAACATATGTAAGTTAGATGAAATGTTGATGTGGTGGTAAAGTTTAGCCTGAGAGAAATAAACTACAAAATCTTAGCTGCCAACCATAAGAAAATAAATGAAGACTAAGTGAATGATTTCTATTCCTGCTTTAATAACCATGGAGAGAAGGAAATTGGTAAACTAGATGATCTGCTATAAAGAAGGACTATTTTTATTATGCTGCCATTTTATATTCATGGAGGCTAAAAAAGGAACATGTTATTTTCTAAAATCCCTCTGAATCTAGGAATTATTCTTCCTAGTACTATAGATATGACAATTTTAACCAAATAATTGACTTTTTGACACTGATAATGAAGCTATTTTGAGATTTAAAGATATAATGACTTTTACTTTATTCAAAATATATGTAAACACTCTATAGATTTATGTAATTTAAAACATTTTATTTCTACAAAATATTTTTTCTTACAAATTGTATAGGTCTAAAATCTCAATAAAAAGGAGCAGCTTGATTTCTATGAATCTTAGATTATATCAAAATGTAAATGTATGAGTCTGGGTCTAATCAGGAAATGGAAACTGCACAATGATTTAAACAGGGGAAGTTTAATATAAATAATTATTAAACACTGATTTTTTAAAAAGTAACTAAAAATGTAAGAAAACTCCTTATGGTACCCTGTGGCTGAGGAGAGGTACTCAAAGGAGATAAACTTCAATGGGGAAGGGACACCTTTTCAAGATTGAGGTTTAGACCTTATTAGCAAAGGTTTAGTGACAATGCACCAGATGCCAGAGAAGGTCACTAGTTATGTGGACAACAGCTGGTCTACAGTGACAGAGCAAGCAGACACCAACACAATGCAGGTGGGGAAGAGATGAACAATAGCTTGTGGTACATACATGGACACCCAGATAGAGCAGGAGCATGTGACCTCCTTGAGCAAGATCAATGCCATGTGACCCTTCAGCCAGACCAATGCCATGATCCCTCCTCACTCAGAGAAAAGAAAAAACAGTAAAGAAAATTAAAAATACAATTATATAAGATAACAAAAACGAAAGTGATATCTTAGCTATTGTATGAGAAATTTAGGTGGGAAAGATGAGAAAAGTATAAAAATCACTACCAAAAGGGAGAAAAGAAGAGAAATAAAAAAGGTAGAGAAAATAAAAAGGGATGAAACACTATAACAAAAATGGAGGATTCTTGCTATTGAAGTAAAAATGATAAAATAATACAACCGAGCAAACAACAAAAAATTAAAGAAATGTGTGTGTATAATTATGTAGGGTAGCTACACTATTATGAAACTAATTGTTAGCTATCTTAGGAAAGCTACAATCCAAATGGAGCCCTAGACTACAGGGAAAGGGGGGAGAGGGGGAGGATGGGTGAAGAGAATGATATTGTGGGGATCACGCCTATAATTTATCTTATTTGGGTACAGGTGAATTTGTCTAAAGGTTGAATATAAATGTCTTAACATAATAATTATGAGAAAGACATGATGGCTATGTTAGCCACTTGGATGAGAGTTTCCCAAACTGCATATAAAAGTAACACACTGTATCCTATGAGAGAATTAATGTACACAATTATGATCTAATAAAAAACAAATTAAAAAAATAAAATAAAATAGTGTGCAATTTAAAATATTACACAAACTTTATGGAATCCCCATATGTATATGTGTTATGTGTGTGTACATATATACTAAGTATATATACATATATATATGTATGTGTGTATATATATATCTGGCAAAATATTGTCTAGACACCCACTGGTGCTATAGTGTTAGGGACCAGAGAACATGCATGCTGGTTGAGGGCCAGAAGCTGCTTTCTAGTTGTTGAGGAGATTAGGTTCCTGTAGGATTGAGTTCCTAAAGCTATCACCAGATTTCTTAGGAGGCATGTCTTAGTGCCCCCTGACAACAATGCCCGGGAGTGCAGGGGCCTCTCAGCTTACCCCAATGGTGGATGCTTGAGCTCAGTAGGTGCTACAAAACTGCAGTGTACTAGGATTCTGCATACCATTCCTCCCATATGGCCTTCCCACAATGGCAGTGCCCGATAGCAGCCACCTTATGGGCGATCCATCCCATCTGTTATGTAATCCTAATTTTTGGACGCTGTTCGAGTTCACCCACTCATTTAAGCCTTTCAAAACTATTCTAGTAAGTGGGGTTAGGCCTCAAATCAAAAAACTGCAGGATAGCCCTTTCCTATCCCCAGTCCTCCAGGTGGGCTGGACAGCCAGTCCCTGTCTTTTCCCAATGACTCATCTCTGTGCTAGCTTTCCTCAGCTCCAGATTTCATTGCCAGCTCCTATAGTCTGCCACTGCTTCACTGTGCCCCCATTCATGTCCCTGAGTAGGTTCCCCCAGCCAGAGGTGGTCGGAGTTTTCTTTCCCCTGCCTTGCCAGGAGTAGCAAGTAAAGAGATGTTTCTACTCTATCATCTTGCTCTGCCCCTGAGACCAAAATCTTTTTGCTTAATTGTTTCATGTCAATTTGAGGGTGCAAAGAATTAGGTTACAATGTTTGCATTTGTCAGATAAAGTGGCTTTTATAATTGTGTCCTATCCCATAAGATGTGTGCCATACACCCTAATATTATGCCCATTACCTGGGAGTAGGCCCATCCCCCTTCCTTCTCCCCCTCCCTGCTCCCTTGTTCTCCTGTCCCCCAACTTGAATTAATTTAGGTTTTTCTCTTATGTGGGCATGTATTAGATCAGTATTGGCTTCATATTAGTA